TCTTACAATCCTCTACTCAGCAGAGCTCAGGCTGGGGGAGGGTAAAAGCAGCATAAGAAGCCAAACAGCTGTTCTGTAGTGTTCACATGTTAACAAGGAACATGCTGATAGGAGCTCTTCAGCATGCTGCTTCCCCTTTCACTGTCCAATCACAGGCTGGGGGAGAGACAAGATCTTTATGTGTTACTTAGCTGCAACAGAAGAAAATCCTGGTCTTCTGCCCTGTTAGACAGAGATGTACTGTGTGGTAGAGCTGTGTTAATCTGGACAGAAAGTCAAATCCTTTGGCAGGCATTACAGCTTCCATATATGTATATTTTCTGTCTATTTTGCCATTTGCCTGTAGTTAAGGTATAAAGGATAAGTAAACTTGAAAACAGAGTATACTGTACCTATCCTTTTTGCGTCCCTTCCCTGACCTAGACTAGACTATCCTACAGATCCCCCCTCCCCCCCCCAAGTGCATACTACCTCGAAGCCTCCACTGGGTATTATCCTTGTGTGGATCACCTGTGTGGATTTCCATAGACTTCTCTTGCTGCCATTTTTCTAGGACCAGTGATAAGGCATTTGAGTGGCAGTAAACTCTTCCTCTAAAAAGCAACATTTATCCCTTCAAAATACATTTAGCAAGAGGTCCCTATGGAGGAGGCCACCACCCAGGAGGATAAAGTCTAGCGTACTGTGGTATAATGGTAATTACATCTGCCTACCATGTAAATGCAACAATTCTGTTTTTGTTATAGAGCGTCTTAACATCTTTTGAAGAGAAGCACGTTGTTTTTTGTTTTAATTGTGAAGATTCTCAATGGCTTGGTTCGGTCCCGTAACCAGACAGAAGGGAATGATAAAGTAATGATCAGTGTTGGGGTCATTCGTAAAGATTAGGGATGTTCAGATACCAAGTACCGTACTCGGTACAAGTACATGTACCGATACTTTTCCAGCTCCAAGGCTAGACTAGAGAAAAACTCAAAAGTTAAGAGGCAGCTGTCATTTTTAAGGAGCGTACAGAGCTCCTTGGATTTGTGTATCCCTGTTTTAATGTATGATTTTTTTAAATATACATATATCTATATATATATCTATATACAGGCAGTCCCCAGGATACATACATCCGACTTACATACGACTCCTACTTACAAACAGAGACTATTACTGTACAGCAGGGGTAGATGTAATGCTACCGCGCTCCACGACAACCCAAAATTTTCAAAATCCAATCACAGGGACAGAAAGTGAGGTGAAATCTTCTGAACAGGGGCACACACAGCAAAACAAACTTTTCAGAGGGTTAACCCTTCCCTATGCTATCCAAAACAAAACAAAAATGTTTTGGCTGGAGTTACACTTAAAAAATGTACCTGTTCCAACTTACATACAAATTCAATTTAAGTACAAACCTACAGTCCCTATCTTGTTCGTAACCCGGGGACTGCCTGTATATATATATATATATAT